CTCCACAATTAAGCTTCCTTCCTCCTCTCGTTTTCTTTCCCAGACTCGTTGCTGAGTTTGAAGTTCTAAACCCAAAACTGAAATGATCACTTTTCTCTCAATTGTTAGTCTTCTAGGTGGAACCTAAAATCAAAACCAATAAACTTTATGGATGAGTTTTATCGGTTAGTCTCAAAAATTACAAAAAAAATAAAACTCATCCATGAAGGTTACTGGTTTCGAATTTGGATTCGACCAGTTCAACAAACAATTAAGAGAAGAGTGATGATTTTAGTTTTGGGTTCAAAGATTCAAACTCAACGACGGATTTGAGAAAGGAGTGCGAGGGGACGGAGGAAGCTTAATTGAGGAGAGAAAGGAATGTGAATTTACAATTTTATCCATATTTTTAACGAAAATGTTAACAAAAGACTATTCGTTGAAATGAATCTAATAATTGGGGACGAAATTAGTAATATTTGATATGTAGGGACTAAATATGTAAAACGACATATAACAGGAGACCTTTTATGGAATTTACTCTTATGAGTAATTATGTACTCATAATATTTTTTACATTCTACTCGGTAACATTTTGGCGTTAAATTAAGGGGTGTATTCAAATAAGATTTTATTGGATTTTTTTAAATTTTTAAAATTTTAGTGTATTCAACCTTGATTTTAAAAAGTCTTTAAAAATCCGAAGGTATTCAATAGGAATTTTCCAAAGTCTTTAGAAATATTGTGGCGGTCTTGGAAACAGCCTCCCTGCTTCCAAGTAGGGGCAAGGTCTGCGTACACACACCTTCCCCAGACCCTACTGTAGTGGGATCCAACTGGGTTGTTGTTGTTGAAGCATTCAACTTAGATTTTCAAGAGTCTTTAAAAGTTTTAAGGTATTGAAGAATCTAATTTTAATACTCTATGGATTTTGTTGGATTTTCTCTCAAAAAATGCTTAACATTTCATTCCTAAAAATCTCTTTTCATAACCCTAGATTTGTATGGACTTCCATCCGTCCGTCCTCAAGCATCTGTCCTCCATCCGTCCGTGCTTAATATTTAATCACGTCCTCTATGTCTAGTGATATATTCTGACATTGACTTGACAGACAATATGATAATACTAACTATAATTGTAGCGTAAGGTTCTGTCCAGGAACGATATATGTAAACTATGGCCGCAGTAGATACTGACTCTAATTGACAAACGACGCATCAGCAGCGACCTCTGTCATTGGTGATGGCTAGAAAGATACATGACAAACTGTTAACCATGCTAGGATACCACCACATGGGTGCACCCATGGTAGCACCGATGTGGTGGCACCCTAGCATTTTCCTAATTTTGATTAGCTAAAAGATTCGAGCAAGCTTAGATCATTCTATTTCTTGATTGAGCAATGCTACGTTCATGATTGAGCAAGCTTAGATCATTCTATTTCTTGATTGAGCAATGCTACGTTCATGATTGATTACATGCTCTTAGTTTTTTGTGAAGTTTGAGTTTGTGAACCAAGCATTTCCGTGATTGATTACATGCTCTTATTTTTTTGTGTGTGAGGCAAACCAGTCAAACAACCCAAAGTTTGCTCACCAACCACAGCAGCTCTGTTTTTTTATAGCTCAGACAGACTGTTGTTTCCACTCGTAATATTTCCCAGAATCTATTCTTGAAATGGCGGGAGACAGCGGTGCCGGCTGGAGGGCAATTTTCAGCATCGGCCGCCGCATTCTGGCGGGGCGGTGGTTCATGGTCTTCAGCTGCCTGCTCATCCTCTCCGTCTCCGGCGGGACCTACGTATTCGGGATCTACTCCGAGGAGATCAAGTCAACCCTAGGCTACGACCAGACGACCTTGAACCTGGTCAGTTTCTCCAAGGAACTGGGAGCCAACATCGGGATCATCTCCGGCCTAATCAACGAGATATCCCCTCCCTGGGCCGTCCTCCTTCTCGGCGCCGCCATGAATTTCTCCGGCTACTTCTTCATCTGGCTCGCCGTCACCCGCCGCCTACCCGACCCGAAAATCTGGTGGGTCTGTTTCTGGATCTGCGTCGGATCGAATTCCCAGACCTTCGCCAACACCGGAGCCCTCGTGACCTGCGTCAAAAACTTCCCTGAATCTCGGGGGATCGTGATCGGCCTCATGAAGGGCTACGTCGGCCTCAGCGGCGCAATCATCACTCAGATCTACCACGCACTGTACGGAAACAACGGCAAGTCTCTGATCTTTCTTCTCGCCTGGCTCCCGGCCGTGGTCTCCGGCGTTTTCCTGCGAACCGTTCGTGTCTTGAAGGTTAACAATGTGAGGAAGGCAAATGAAGAGCTCAGAGTGTTCTACAATCTCTTGTTCCTGTCTTTCGGCCTCGCCGGGGTTCTTATGTGCATAATCATTGTGCAAAGCCGGGTCCAATTCAACAGGATTGAGTACGCGATTAGCGTTTGTCTGATTGTTGCTACCTTGATTTCTCCAATAAGTGTTGTGATTAGGGAGGAGGCTAAGCTCTGGAAGACCAAGAAACAACTGCTGGAAGAAGTGGAAGAAACTGAAGAGCGTGTTGCCCCTGAAACGGCCATCGCGTGGTACAAAAACGCGTTGAGTCCGCCCGAGAGGGGGGAGGATTACACCATTTTGCAAGCGGTGTTGAGCATCGACATGTTGATTTTGTTCGGTGTCACAATAACCGGAGCTGGAGGGACATTGACGGCGATAGACAACCTAGGACAAATAGGCAAATCCTTGGGCTATCAAGACAAGAGCATAACCACATTTGTGTCACTTGTGAGCATTTGGGGTTACCTAGGAAGAGTAGCCTCCGGTTTCGCCTCAGAAATCTTCTTGGCCAAGTACAAATTTCCACGCCCGCTAATGCTCACACTAATCCTACTCCTCTCATGCAGTGGCCATCTTTTGATCGCGTTCGGGGTTCCCAACACCCTATATGTTGCCTCGATTTTGATAGGGTTGTGCTTTGGGGCAATTTGGCCATTGATATTCGCGATAATCTCCGAGCTCTTTGGGCTCAAGCACTACTCCACATTGCTCAACTTTGGGGGTGCCGCGAGCCCGGTTGGGGCCTACATATTCAATGTAAGGGTGGCGGGAGCTTTGTACGACCGCGAGGGGCTGAGGCAGTTGGGGGTCAAGGGGATGAGAAGAGGGACGGGGGAGGATTTAACGTGCGACGGGGTCGAGTGTTTCAGGGTCGCGTTTCTAATCATTGCAGCCTCGACGTTCGCGGGCTGCGTGGTTTCGTTGGTTTTGGTGGCCAGGACAAGGAAATTCTACAAGAGTGACATATACAAGAGGTTTAGGGAGAAGGGTTTGGGTGTGTAGAAGAGAAGATTGAGAAAAATGGTGTTTGAATTTTCATGTTGCATCTCGTTTGGTACATATAGGAGTTGTAGGTTCACTTGTACATTCTACCTACTATGTATGGAGTAATGCATAGGGCTTGTAGAAATTATGTGTTTTTAAATAAACATGATATCCATACTTGGTTTAGATACTAATTCTCCCTACATTCCTCCTTTAAAAAAAAGGTAAACAAGAGAATGACATACTTCGAGAATCGAGAGTAGGTTGGAAAGTACGTTGGAGAATGCTTCTCTCTTCGTGTTTGTGAATAACGTTTCCAATCAGTGTTAGGATTTTGATTTTTTTTATGGTGCAGGTTAAATTTTAAAAACGCTAAGATTAAATATTGTCCTTACATGGCATTTTTTCAAGATACTTACGGAGTAATATTTTCATGGTGGAAGACACTTCCTCCCATTCGGGCATTTACAATGGAAGGAATAAATGAGATAGATCCAAAAAAATGTTGTGGGTAAAGGAGCATTTTTCATGATAAAAAGAAACATGCTAAGGTAGGATAATCTCAACCATAACTTTAAGTTTCACATGTGCTAAAAACTTGGGTCATGATTGAATATTCTTATTAGAACCAAATCAGAAACACTTTGAATTTTTTTGAAAAAAATAATAATCAAAGGAAGAGGAGCTGATTAGATTTTAACCGTGGACCGCCACCTTTGACCGCTGCCGGCCGCCGCCGCCGACCACCGTTGGTCCCTGGAAGCCAATGCTGACTGGTGGTTAACTGGTGTTGCTATTTTTTTTTTAATTTTTTTAAATTAAAAATATATTCTTGAAATGACTTCTGGAAGTCACTTTCTCCATTTTTCAATGTTTGGTAACCTAGGAAAATGGAAGTTAGTGCACTGGTCAAAGGAAAATGATGCCTAAAATCCGGAGAATGACTTCCGCTCGGGAAGTCATTTTCCGTTAAGTTGCTTCCTCCATTTCTCTTCCATTGCGCTACTCCATCGACCATTATCGCTCCACTACCGCTGTCTTCTCATTGCCTCCTCTATCTCCTTCACTCACTCTTCCCTTTGCTTCTCTCTCTTTGAATCTTTCTCCATGCTTTTTCCAAAGATGAAGGGCACACGAATAAGAAGACTCAGACTTAGACACAGCACCAACACAAATTATCTGGATTTCGATGCAGAAGCGAAGCACAAGGCTGCAAACGAAGGGTTTTCCAAAGACGCAAAGCACACCCCATCCATTGGATTTCTTTCAAGGGAGCCAAACACCGGAAAAGTTTAATAACATCTGGAAAATAACACTTTCTCCAGAATCATTTTCCAAACCACGTTTTCTCCCTCTCCAAACGGGTCGTAAGTATAACCTAAACCAGACGAAAAGAAAGAGAACATGCTCTAAATTGCCCTGAGAAACGATTACCACATCTTGCTAGAGAAACCCCAGGAAATTATAAACATGATATATAATAAATGCCTTGATGACAATAGCACCACACTTAGAGATTGGTTTGTCACATACTCCTATTGCCAAATGCTAACCACAGAACCCCTTAAAATGCACTCAAACAGCAGGAACATGTCATAAGAAGTTACAACTCAACTGTTTGAGAAAATGGCAAAAACGAAAAACGTAATCCAAACACACAAAGCAAGAAGAGCAGCAAAACCTTGCATACTTAAGACATCAAGGGTGACATTTTTTCATTTAAATAACTGTTCAGTATCGAGAGAGGACAAAATTATTCGTCTATTTCCCTATATCTAGGAGAATGTATGCTACATACATGAAAAAATGAGGTAGAGAAAAGATAGGGAAAAGAATAATAAAATTAATCTTTACTTCTGACCAACTTGAACAACTTGAGAACATTCTCATATACAACAAAAGTAACGGCAGAAGCTGGTACGTTTTTTAATAAGTTAGCAGTGATACCTTTGTAGAAACCACGAATCCCTTCAAACCTGCACTTACAAAGAGAAAAATAAAAAACATGCATGTCTTAGACAGGGCCGTTTGGGAATAATACACAATCCTCAAGAATGAACAAGTTCACCTCCACCAGTAATATATGATGGCCAAATTGCTGTTTTTTTCAGAAAGTTGTATCAGGAACTTCCTTAACAAACGTCATTTTCTTTGCAAGGACCCTCTTTCATCACATTTTCTTAGTAATGAACAGATTTCCTATATGATGGAGAAACCCACTAACCCTTAGATTTTGAAATCCAGTTTTTTCGAAGTAAAAATAAAAAAATAAAGAAAATGTTCTCTTAATTATTTCTTGGTTCTTTTTTCCCCATTTTTCTCTATCATCCCCTTACACCACCCAACCCCAAGCCTACTAGTCACTTCAACAAGTGATAGGAACCCCTTCTGCTAGCTTCACCTATGCCCTCATCTCTTCTACCCTAATTTTCCATCTCTCTCTTTTCCAATGACCTTCCAAAACACATGCAAAAGAAAACTGTGTACCTACATCTTATTTCTTTTTTTCCACCAAAACAGAATAAAAGAAGAGAAAGAGAGAGACATGCTGTTTTTTCTTAAAAGAGTTTGATGTTAGTGCGATCCCCCGTGTAAGTGTTTCCTAACTTTAAGCATCGGACTGATTCTATAAGTCATGAAACAGAAAACAATGATAACCACCAAAAAGATATAACTAGTAAGTATCCAGAGTAAAGGTATGGGTAATGGGTGAATGGGTATAAGTGATGTTGTCGAGACGTAATCACATAATGCCCGACAAAAAAATGACATGCGGGAAAGCAGAAAAATTTAAGTTACATGGCCAACATAGACATGTTCTCACCTAGCAGTTTCTTTTACTGCATGCAAACTATCAGTGTATCTGTGAATTCCATCAATACTAGGTCGTTGCTGCAAAGGACAATGTTTATTAGCCATTGTGGGGGGTGGGGGGGAGGGCACGGAACAAACAATGAGTAAACTTGAAGGTCATCTGAAACAATGCGAAGAAAATTTAAAGGACCCCCCCAACTGCTACCTGCAATCTGGATCGAATGACCTGCCAAAACACAGGAATTCACTCATCAAACAGAGGGGAGAAAATATAAGCACATCAAACAAAGGAACATCATCTGAAGCAAAACTACCTGAAATGGGTATGTGGACAAAATGGCAGCTACTTTGGAAGAACCCCCTAGAAATGAATAATCAAGCGAATTCTGTTGACAGATCACCATAAACAGATAAAGCCTTAACTTACACTATGATAAAAACAAAAAAAAACAAAAAACTATTCAAATAACCGTGACGGTCATATTTGAAATGGTAATATTTGGATTCTTAGTTTTTATTGTACTGCAAGTAGGCTACAATGCACAACATCACAACAAGAAACATTGGGAGGTGATAGCCACGCCCCACTAAATCAATAAATTACCCCCACTTGATAAATTCACCCAATTATATTTTGAAGTGTTATAAATACACTCCACTTGTTACCACCCCCTAGTTTAAAATTGTCTCAACATACATCTCCAGGTGCCAGAAAATGCACCACCATCGCTGGTTACCAGAAAATCAATACCGTACAATTTAATTGCAGAGTAGCTAAATAGGATACGACCATTTTTTTTTAGAAAAAGATAAATAGGAAAGGAGGGCCTCAAGTCCTCAACATGGGTTTTTCATAGAGAAAGTGAACATCAGAACTTTAACAGGCATAGACTTATAACCTACCAACAATTCGTCATTGCTTCTTTTGTTCGTCCTTCTAGACTTAAAATCAATAAGAAGCTTGCGCAGTTCTTCATATGCTGTGAATTGTATTGCCCCATGTGATACCTGCTGCAAGCAGTAAGCTGATAGAATATAAATATCCCCAAGTTCATTATTTAATTGATACTGAAACCATATTGCTCAGTCAATTAGTGTTATGCCTGCAATAAGCAAAGCAACCAAAAAGCAAGCACATTTTCTGCTAGCTTGCCTGGTTACCTCTAATATTCACCCATTTAATTAAGAGGTCAAATTTTTTGGGTTTTCAATGTCTTAATACTTAATACCATAACAAGCTTTTGATAACTGAGTATAACAGCAATTAAGATATAAACCTATAAACAAAGAAAAGATGGCACTATGCAGACATTTTGTGGAATAGAACATATACCCGAGTCCCGAGGGTTATAACTTATAAGTTGATAAATCAGCCATTAAAAAGATGCAAAGGATTTGGAGGATGAATCCCAAACCGATGGGAGGACGTATGCGGAAATCGTCAACAAAGAAGATGCAATCCCATCAGAATTGGAATTCGTGGAGGCAGAAGAGATCGAGGGACAGAGAATTTCAAGATTTACTAGGGAGGATGTCATCAAGATCAAATCTGTCTGGGAGAATGCTGTGGTTTGCTGTGTACCCGGAGCGAACCCTCCCCTGGATGTGATGAAGGGCTTCCTTACTAGAATTTGGAAGAAGTTTGAAATCTCTGACATCTCTTTCCACAATCACGGGCAATTCATCGTGTGCTTCAAGGAAGGGAGTGATAGAGAAGAGTCTGCAAAAGAAGGTGCTTCTTTTTTGATAATAAGCCAATGTTAGTCCAAAAATGGTCACCGGGCAGAAAGATTGATATCCACAAACTTAACGATGTCCCCATTTGGATCCAACTCCCAAACCTTCATCTGAAGTATTGGAGTTTATCTGGGCTCAGAAAACTTGGCAGCTTAATAGGCAAGCCTATTAAGAGGGATAAGGCGACTGCAGCAAGGGGAAAACGGGCCTATGCTAGAATACAAGTTGAAGTGAGCATCCACCAAGATTTTCCAGATGTTATACAGTTTGTTGACGAGGAGAACAGGGTTATAACCCGAGACATCAAGTAAGAATGGAAGTCTTCCCACTGCAGCCACTGTAAGATGCTTGGGCATACCGAGGAACTCTGTAGGAAGAAGGATAAACTACAAGATAAGGATGAAGGGGATGACAATTGGACTCCAAATCAACCCACAGAAATCTCAGATTTTCTTTGGGGGGGGGGGGGGGGGGGTGGATCATGGATGACCAGCTAGAGAAAAGATTGTTGGAGGCCACTAACATGGAAAGAGGTACTTTGCCATTCACTAACATGGGCTGCCCGGTTACCTCATCTCGGCTCAAGGCTAAGGACTGTGAAGTGATGGTTACCAAGATGACTACAAAGATCAATACCTGGAGCTCCATACAGCTCTCCTACAGTGCCAAGGTCAGGTTAATTCATGCAGTCTTGTTGGGTATTATTACTTTCTGGGAGAGAGTACTCATTATCCCCAAAGGTGTATTGCATAGAGTTCAAAGCACCTGCAGGAATTTTTTATGGAATGGATCCAGTGACTTTAAAAAAGTCTCTTTGGTCAGTTGGGAGAACATTTGCCAGCCTAAAAAGTATGGTGAGCTCGGATTGAGGGACATCACAACATGGAATAAGGCTGTGATTATGAAGGTTAATTGGGATGTGGCTAACAAAAAGGAAATACTGTGGATTAAATGGATCCACAATAAATACCTAAGGATCCTGCGTTTTGGGACTATAAACCGAAACATGATGACTGTCATTACTGGAAGCAGATGCTAGGGGTTCGTGACATCTTTAGTGGAATGCAAATTGACGACAGATTCACTATTAGCAAAGGATAT